GCGCCTCAGCCAAAGGCGGGACATTTCTCGCCCGCCCACGCAGTTTCGCTTCGCCCGCACGCAAGGCACGCATGAACACGAAACCGAAACCGATTTCCCGGTAGGGGGGCTCTCCGTTTCACTTCGATCTTACCTCATCACCTCCGACAGACATACGCTGCGCATCTATGTGTTTGTATACATACAAACATACGCTGTGTATCTATGTGTTTGCCACCGTGGACCCCAAAACGGTGAGTTATTGCAATGTGGGTATGTAAGTAATGTGGTGCAAGCTATGTGGTGATAGCTATGCTGTGCAAGCTACGTGCTGTAAGCTATGCGGTGCAAACTACTTGGTGTAAGCTATGTGGTGAAGGTTGCGAGGTGCAATGTATGAGTCGTAGGCCGTGTGGTGCAAGCTGTGTGGTGTAAGCTATCTGGCGTCTACGTGATGTATGCAATACAGTGCAACATACATGATGTAAGCTATGTGGTGTAGGTTGCGCGATGCAATATGTGTGAACCCAGCTGTGTGGTGCAAGCTGTGTGGTGTAAGCTATCTGGTGTTAGATATGCCGTGCCAGCTACGTGATGCAAGCCATGCGGTGCAATCTACTTTCGCTGTAAGCTATGTGCTGTAGGCTGAGGGGTGCAATATCTGCGGTGCACGCTGCGAATGTCAATCTGCGTGGTGCAAACTATGTGGTGGAAGCTGTGTGGCGCAACCTACGTGGTAAAAGCTCAGTAACGCAAATCACCCGCGCAATCATCCCACCTTCCCACCCAGAATTTGGTCGAGAAATCCGTTCGGCTGCAATTGCGGTTGCACTGGCGTTCAAACGCTCACGCGCAGATCGGCCACCTGGTTTGGCACAAACAATGCGCTTACATATACGAAATTCCAGGCGCGTCCGCAAGGTCGCGCTGGCGCGCGGGCGCTTCAGTCTGGGCTGGTGACTGGGGCAGGCGCGATAGAATGATGACGTCAACAAAGGCGGCGATGTCGACGATGGCAACGACGACGGTGGCGGTCAGGATCCCGACGATGGTGTTGATAATGATGATGGTGACGATGATGATGATGATGATGATGCTGATGGTGATGATGTTGATGATGACGATGGCTGTTGTCCTCGGAGACCCCATGGCAGAACGTACCCAACCACCTCAGTCTGTGGGTGGCACAGCTGCTTCGTCCTGCGCCTTGATGCGCGCCGCCAACGCCAGCATCCCAGGTGTCGAGATGAGGCGCGAACGCGAGGACGACGGTCCTCCTGCGCCTGAGGAGAAGGCGGCCTGGAGGATGAAAACGGCTGGGTTCACACAAGGCTCAGCCATACGAGCATCGGTGTGATAGTGTTGATGGCGCCCCTGCTTAATGAGATGGAAGGTCTGAGCACTGCGCTTACCTCTTCGCGCTGCAAACATCTGCCAACATAATTAACGCATATTTGCCTAGAGCACGAGCTGGTCGGCGCACGATGTCTGTTGAACGTTTTCGACATGCAAGTGCCGCAGAGGCCTGATTTGACAGAGTGAACGAAAACCAGTGGTCTTCTTCAAATTTCAGAGAGTGCGCGCGCAGAATGCTGGCACCTTGTTTGCTGGAAGACCTCAAGTGTTTAACAGTTGTTGATCAGCCGTGTCTTGAAGATGTTAGGAGTCAATTGTTGTTGATAGATGTTCACGTGCGCGCACGGTGGCGCGCGCGTGTGGACTTTGTGGCATTCCTTCGCAAGGGATGATTGTAAAATGATCTTTTGAGGTAATCGGCTGAGCCCGCATGGTACTGTTTGACAGGGACGAGGGGGGAGGGGGGGCAATACCCGGCCCTCCTGGGATGGTGTGATTCCAGATTCGGGAAAGGAGCGATAAACATAATCATACATATGTATATATCGTAAACAAAAATACATACATATCGCTCGTAACCAGGGGGCGACTCAGGAGTCCATCAGAGCCTAGAAGGGCGCTCGGGAGTGCTCTATAAGTTCCTCAGCGGCACGACGTCTTTGGTAGAGCTGGCTCTCGGAGGCCACAGGTGGGCCAGGAGAGGCGCTAGTGCGTGCTATGTCGTAGATATGATAAGAACGAACCAGGCTCTCATGATAAGCAACAAACGTTGAGTAGCATAAATACATACATATACACACATGTATCTCTGCTGCATGCCCCAGGGAGTACCGATAGCCCTGGAGGGGGAGTTTTTTGTGGAGTCGATCTTTCCAGCGGCCGCCGGCGCACGAGGTGCCCACGAGGCGCCCACGGGGGGCACCAGGCGAACCCTCGGCGCGCACCCAGCCAGCGCACGAGGCGCCCGCGAGGCGCCCACGGGCGGCGCCAGGCGAAACCTCGGCGCGCACCCGTCCAGCGCACGAGGCGCCCGCGGGGCGCCCGCGAGGCGCCCACGGCGGGCACCGGGCGAGCCCTCGGCACACCCGCCCAGCACACGAGGCGCCCACGAGAGGTGCTGCTGCTGCTGCGACTCGGTCTCCACCTC